TTTTAAAAGTTCTACCTTGTGGTGCTTTTCAGAGTAAATTTTCATGATATTTAATTTGATATTTTTTATAAAAGTGAAGTTTTAATTGGATATTTTGTAATCATCTTTAAATGAGAAAAACTTTAAAATCATGAGATATTCAAGTAGTATAATGATCTCAAAATGCAGCATTGGAACTTTTTACATAATAAGTAGTTTCAGATTCAGAGCTATAGAGAGCAAAGAGTTCTGTTACTAATTTGAAAAGGAAGCCTTTTGCAAACATGGACATTTTTTACAATATGTCTTGAAATATTTACATGAGAAGAAAGTATGAGGCAAAATGCTTCTAAAGCTAGTCAAACTTTTTGATCGCTTATAGCACCAATGGTCATTTTTTATTCTATTACACATAATCAACTATAGTTCCAAACATATTTTTTATTTGAATATTCTTTTTTTCTACCCTGTTAGTAGTATGGGTGCGTGTGTATGTTTTCTTCTGTGCTGTGTTGGTAACTAAAATGTAAGCTGAGCAAAACAGGACTGACTTCTTTAAAAAATATTTAGCAGGATGTCCAACCAGCTGAGTGCCTAATATAGTCAGAAAGAACCCTAGAATACTAAAGAATGTGTAAATTTTGCAAAAGCAGTTACAGGCATGTTGAGGATCAGGCTGAGATCTAATAAGGATTTATAATATTTTCTATTTCTTTTTCTGCCCAGACTCCCTTCTGAATAGAAATATTTCTTTGTAATGGAATTTCCCTTTGCAATAGAGGGACGTGGATTTAAGATGGAGTACACAAAAACAAAAGTAGAATGCCTTTTCACCTTGCTCGTTTTTCTTTGCCCATATAGAAAGCTTCTAATTACATTTTCATATTCTACCCAAAAGGATAGAATATAAAAATCAAGTAGCTATAGAAGTACATAGCCATTTTGAAATCATGAATGAACCTTGATTGAAATAGCCAGAATACTCTTCTAACCCAATCAGTTCAGTCATTTGTTCTAAAAAATGCATGTATGGAAAGCAGAGAATGAGGAAGAATATGCTGTTTAATATTGAAAGTCAGTTAAGTTTTGCCTATCAGTAAGTTTTAAGATTGAAGTAGCAGTAAGTATATTTACAAAACTCAGTTATTATTAATAATAGCTAATATGTATTACTCATTCAGGCACCATTCAAAGTGTTTTACAAGTATCAGTTTAGATAATACCTTAATTCTACTAGGTTAAGTACATTTATTATCCCTATTTAACAGAATAAGAAATTGAGGTGTGGGAAGGTGAAGTAATTTTTCTGTGTGGTATATCCTGGATTCAGTCTTAGAGATTCCAGAACTTGAATCCTAAACTCTTCATTAGGCAGTTTTCTAAAATGCCCTAATATCATTTTCTAGGGCATTTCAGACCTATAGAATGGTAATTTGAAAGCATTAGTCCTTTTAAATCTGCTTGACTGCAGATGCTGGCAATCTTTAAGCAACTTTATCCATTCTGTCATGAAGCAAGGAAACCTTGTCATTTTAATATCTTGGTACCAAAATTAATAAGGCACCACCTAGTTGACTAGTAAAACTACCACTGCCCAGAGTGACCTACTGCCCTGTCATTCTCCACCAAGTCTGAACCATTTGACATCAAAGCAACTTTGAATCAGACCTGAATTTACCACAACTCTTAAACATTTTAATTTTAACTTATCACCACCTTCCACAGAAGTAATTAGATCAGTTCCCTTAGCCATGGCCCAGTCTGATTCTGAGTTTTTTCCTTCTCACACTAGTGTGCTGTTGTGATACTCTGAAGTATTCCCTTCTGAGAAAGAAACAAAATTTACAAAATCAAAATTGAAATTTTTTTTATTGGCATAAACTCATTTTTTATTTTTAATTCAATAACTCCAAACCACATCACCAAATAACAGTAATCATGTCCCTGTTTGTTTTATTATCCTCATTTAAAATTAATTAATTGCTAAATCAGTGAGTCTCTTTACAATGTACTAGCTAGTTATTTTGATGGCACAAGAATTAAAGGCAACGTAATAGAAGTTTCTGACTTGTTGAGACAGTGTTAGAACATTTCAGCAATATTCCAGAGTAGAGTTTAGTGGAAAAGAGAGTTTTTAACTCCTCTGTTCTTATTCATATTTTAAAATAATGCACACTAATCCATTGAGTTCATTATGTTACACCCCGGGTACCTCTGCAGATTTTCAAAGTGACCGTTGCTCTGCACTGAATATTCTAACAGTTTAGCCATACTAATGCTCACCAGTTTGTTTACACCATCCCAGGCACTCTCCCATTATTTTTTGACTCACATTTGGGATAGCTAAATTAAACAGAATGGACAAACTCTCCAGAATTAAATGACCAAACGATAAAGGATCTGACACAGTTGAGTGTAGAGTAGGAAATAAATGCTCTTTGAAACTTATTTTAGTGAGACAATAGTTAATCTGATAATGCGTAGGTAATTATGCAAATGTTCTTGACATTTTATATTACAAAAAGACTTTAAGAATGTACTTAAAATTTTTTATCTTTAATAATTTACTATCAGAGTAATTTTTTTTCTAGTAAAAGCATTTTTTAATTTAAAATTTTCATTGGCCAAAGGCAGGGAGTTGGGGAGATGGGTGAAAAGGGTGAATGAGAATATAGTCAATAATAGTGTGAAAACTTTGCACCATGACATGATTATTAGACTTAGTGGTGTGATTATATTGTAAGGTATAAAAACGTCAAATGACTATATTATACATCTGAAACTAATATAATATCGTATACCACCCATATTTAAAGAAATAAAAAGAGTAGTTATATGAAAACAAAAATTAAAAATAGTAAAATAAAATTCCCATTGTCATGTTAATGTGGAATTAGGTTACAGTTAAAGAAAAGTAACTTTCTGATTGCTTTGTAAAGGAGTCAACACTGCACTCCTTCATCCCCTGTCTTAATTCTCCTCAACCTCATCTCAGAACTACGACAATAAATTAAAGCCAAGTTTCTAATGACATTAAAAAGGGCACACTCTACAGTTTATTTAACATGATGCAGATATATGGTGTTATGACCATATTGTTAAAAGCCTGCATACCCAATTTCCAGGTGATACAAAACTGGTCTATCTGTAGAAAAGTAACAATTGAAAACAAGGAGCCTACATACAACAAAAAATAGGGAATTGTTTTCTATTTTTTCTTTTTCCTTAGAAAAAGCTCTTGGATCACTGTGTATTTTTGTTTTAGAAGTTGTTTGTAGATGTAGCAATTTGCTTGGAAATTAAGCATGCTTCCTAATGGAAATTTGAGATGTTTAGGCATATAGAGTTAAAGAATGTTGATTTTTAATGTTTTTTTCTAATAACTCCCAAAAAGATACAGCAAAATAAGTCAAGAGGCTTATTGCACAGTGTGCTTGATTTCGCAAAGTGCCTATGGTTAGTTTCTGCACATGGAAAGGCAAGAACATCTGTGTTATAGTAGGAACTTTTAAAGACACATATGAAAATGGATCATTCAAACACCAATCTAAGCAAATGGAAAAACAGAAAACCAAAATTTTCTTAATAATTTTTGGAGTATTTTTGAAATAGCTTGGGATATGGTAGACCAAAATATGGATCTTTTAAAAAGGCCTGAACCGAAAATGTTTTATACGACTAGCAAACCATTAAAATAATTGACCATAATTATCTGATTTGGTGGAAACAAATTTGCTTTCATGACTTCTAGTAAATGTTTTAAGGAGGATTTTGTGAGAACTATAGCACTTTAATGTTAAGGAATTGTTCAAATCAACAACCCTGTATCTGAGTTCGTCTTCTTTTACCCCACAGAGAACTGTACTGAGATTACCAGCTTATTTTAGCTGCTCAAAAAAATAAGTATAGCTTTATTTGCAGTATTTGTGTATAGATGTAAAACTCAACATATTTCAAATGAACTAGGACCACCAAAGAATGACTATAACCTTGATTTAAGGTATAAAATATGAAGAACTTTTAAAAACTATGTAATTTATGCAACGCATAGTTTTATTACAGCAATATGGTTCTGAATTTATAAGTTACCTTGTTTTTACATTTTTAATTTTAAAAATCATACTCTTTTAGACCCCACAATTTTTCTACTTAATGAAATGAAAAGTTTTAAGGATAATTTTTATTATTCATTTCATTTTTTAAGACACAAAACACAAGCTGATATCTGCTCTGGAACAGGTTCTATCTTTTAAGTTACATTTTCGGTAGTTTCTGCATGTAAACCGTACATAATTAAAGGAAAAGTATAAAATGAAGTATAAAAGAGACATTTCTAAATCTCTCTTCAAATACTTCAAATCTGTACTTACAATGAAAAATCAATTACTTTGTAAAATTTTATAGTATCTTAATAGCTGAGAAATCATAAATAATTTATTTTGGCAGAAGATTAACAATAAATGTGTAGGTATCACTTTTAACTTAGAACATGATTTAACACCTGAAAAGTATCTTGCTGGTATTTTTCCAGCAAAACTATTATTCATACTGGGATAGCATTTTAAAAGCAAACTTTAAAAAATTTCCTAAATTAAAACTTTGTCTATCTCATATAAAAGAGGAGGAAAAAAAAAATTAGAAAAAGAGAAGAGAGTCACAAAGTGATAAGAATCAAACTACCAATGGGAAAATCAAAAAATAGTTATTATAAAGCATTAATCACCAACCTTATGATTTCTGATCTAAATTGTTATGCCTATTTTATTTATTTTTTAAAAATAGTCTCCTTAAAATTTTATTGCTTTTAGGCCAAGGTCATTACTTTTATGACCGGAAATACATGTGTCAGGCATATCAACCAATTGGCACCTATCCTCTTTTAAAGGTAGAAAAAAAGATGACTATTATATTGTAATACTTTGTTCTCTCTCTCCTCCTCTTTCTATTTTTGTTTTTTGTTTTTTGTTTTCGTTTTTGGATGGTTGGTGATTTGTTTGCTCCTCCTGGTTCCTGTTGATCAGTGGTGTTTGGCCAGTTTGTATTTTTCCAGACATCACTCCACGATGTTGTTGAGGTGTATGATGGGCCAACTCAGCAATCTTCTCTGTTATCTTCCCTCTCAGGATCCCATTCAGGTATCCTTTAATAGAACTGCCATGCATCAGTTATTGATTAAATACTGACTTTGATTGATATTATAGTGAAAGTTGAGATTTATGTCATCCATATTAGAGATAAAGCAAACCAAAAATAGAATCACTCTTTATTAAAAAAAAAAAAAAAAATAGAAACACAATTAATAGTAAATCAAACGCTTACAAAAAATCTAACCAACTATTTGCTGAGATTGTAATCAAGTAAATATAATATTTGGTCACTTAATCTGTGGTGTTTAATGTAGTATAAATATTTAAGAATTCTTTAAAGAATGAGGCAAAATGTGTCAAAATGTAATCAAAGCCTGTCAGTAAAAAGGTTGCAATTAAAGCTGAACCCAAAGAAAATTTATTGTTGGTGGTAGGATATATTAAAGTAATTTCATAGAACATAGATTGACGTTTTCAAATGACAGTGTAAATTAATATAATTTGTTAGGTTTACTGAATGAAATTATTTATGATATCTTAGTGTCTGTTTTGTTGAGTAGGAGAATCACTTCCACTGAGTTCAGGTAATCAGATCACAATTCGATTTACTTCAGTTGGACCAATAACAGCTAAGGGATTTCACTTTGTTTATCAAGGTAAGTAATCCGGTAGCTAGAAGCATACTAAGGAATAATATTAGTTTTCGTGCTGTGTTCAGAGTAATTAAATGATCAGATTCTCAGAACCATATAGGAGAGATGAAAGTCGTATGTTTTTCTTTTTTTTTTACAGTTTGCTCTGTTCCCTCTCCCATCACTACAGTACTGTTATTTTGACCAAAGTTAAAACATACTTATTGCTTCCATCATCATTCTGAAGTTAATTGTATGATTTTCCTTTCTTCCAACATATTGTTTTAAAACATCTATTTTTTTCTGACAATTCTTTACTTTCTAACATATACTATTTTTCTTAAAGTATCGCATTCTAAATTAAAAATGTACAAAATTTTGTGCTTATATAATTAGACATGCCAAGGAAATCATTACTCATTCTAAAATTTTAGTTCACATTCTCTGAGGAGAATTCAAATATTCTTTATGGCTATTAAATATTTTTGTGCAATAAAAGTCAGTTTACACAATTTTTCTCATCTTTTATACACAAGCTCCACATTATCTTTAAATTAAGAGCAATCATTTGAAATATTTTAGTTATATATTATCATGTATAAGTATTCTCAGATGTATCTTGAACTTTATTCCTAAGAAATTTATAAACATTTGAGATTTGATATTTTTATTAAGCCCTCTTATCATATTTATAATATTGGTTATGATATTTTACTGTTTTAATAGTATTCCCTCTGTAAACAATGTGAGTTATTATGAATTTTAAAAGGCACTATTAAAAATTGAATTACTTTTACTCAAGTCACATAAGAGGAATCAATCTATTTGGAATTCATCATACCATTTTTTGGGCCGTTGTCAAACTCTTTAATTCCATCTGTATGTGTTTTAAAAAGAAAAAACATCCTGTTATCATTCTATTTTACTAAACCAAAAAAAAAAAAAAATTCACAATTGAAGAACATAATGATAAATCCTAAAAAGCAATTTCAAATTTGAAATTGTATAATTAAAATAAAATTTCCTATTGTTGTTAATCTGTCTGACTTCTTTTCTGCTTAGCCTGAATGTAGTTAATCTTTACCAAAAACATGTTTTGAACAACTAAGTTTGTGAACATGCTATGAAATTAATGAAGTGTTGTTTACTCTTTTAAATCTTATGTTTTTAAGGACCAAATACTGACAAAAAAAAGATTATGACATTACATCATGTAACTCGACACATATTTTTTGAAATTGGTATCCCAATTTAAAAATAAAAATATATATATTATTCAGTTATCAACCCACAAATTGAAATATATAAAGCACAAACTATTATATTAATAAGAGTTTGGTAAAACAAAATATAGAAAACAAAAACTTAGTTGATAGTTAAAGGATCAAAAGCAAAATAGTTTTAAGTAAAAAATCTTAGTGACAATATTCATTTTAAATTGTATTTTATTCCATATTAATTTTGAAACTTTAGAAATGTATTTAAATTGTTAATTTAAGTTTTGATAGAAAGTGAAGATTTTGAAATCTGTTACATTTTGAAATCTGTATTTCTCTACTAAATATGAAATTAAAATCAATAATTTTTTGCATGCAGCTGTTCCTAGAACAAGTTCCACACAGTGCAGTTCTGTGCCTGAACCAAGATTCGGAAGAAGAATTGGCAATGAATTTGCAGTTGGTTCATTGGTTCTGTTTGAATGTAATCCAGGATATATTCTCCATGGATCTATTGCAATTAGGTGTGATACGGTGCCCAATTCTTTGGCCCAGTGGAATGATTCCTTACCTACCTGTATTGGTGAGTATGTAATTTTGTATGCTTTGTGATTGTACATTGTTTATATCAAAATTAGTTACCTTGCATTTTTCAATATTTCTATTTCAAATGCATTTATTTTTAAAAACTTTGTCAGTTATAATGTATCTATACATACAGATTAGAGGAAATATTTGATGCAATTGAGGTGTGATGAAATCAATGAAAAATATTTCTTGTTGAATTAGCTGGAAAGTTTCCCCATTCATTGATTTATTTAGATGAAAATATATATCATATTTCCAATAACAGAATTTGAATGCTACTAATATGGTATTATTGAAATATTATTTTTTGTTTTTCAAAGTTCTGCAAAAATTCTGTGCCAATATGTAAAGAATTTACATGTCTTTTAAATATCAAAAACAGATTTGTGGGGGGGGCATATTTTACTTCAGCATCAGAATAATTAGAAAACATGCGTTAGCAAATAAATGTGTTTTTTTCTCCATTAGTTATAGGTATGTATAAAAACATAAAATAATAGATTTTCCCAGTCTTTCCCAAATATGGGTAGTAACACTTTGCATAGAATACACAGGGTTAGCCAGAAATCTCATTGTTTCACTTTATTTTTGCAATACTGTATCTTTTTTAATTGGCAGATAGACTACACTTTCTAAAGTTATGGACCCTATGCCAGTAATTGGAAACCAACTGAAATATTTTATAAATGATAAAAAAAATTGTTTAGAATTTTATAGTATTTCAGAATCATAACAATGACTTTTGGTTCTCATAAAGTTCCATAGATGTAGAAAATAATTGAAGCCCGGAAAGTTGCTTTCTTCTCTGTCCCAAGAGCAGAGACCTGGAAAAAAAATTTTTTTTAATTACATGTTATTGAATTAAAACAAGAGTGGTAAAACTTAATCTCAGGTTAAGAAATATTTCTAATGAGTTGAGTTCTTTCTCATCAAAGTTTTCTTGGTATGAATTTGGAATATAAGAGCAAGGTTTTTTTAAAAATAAAAAATAATCAAAATTTTAATTTTATTAATCTCAATTCTATACTTTTTTAATAGAGAAAACATGTATGTACATATGCATATACATAAGATATACTTTCATAATTCATAAAATTTATTTTTAATGACACATCTTGCCATACCTGAAAAGAAATTACATGTATTTGTAGTTTTCTTAACTTTCAAAAACACATTTTACCATATTTTACACAGATTTAATATAATGTTAGCTCATACTTCATTAAAATATATTTTAAAATTGTGAAACGATATGGAAAGTATACTCATCTCCACTGAGGAAAGGTAAAGATAAAGTCTTTGATATACATTCATGGAACCTGTAATTTGTATGGGATCTATCTGCTCTATGTAGAATATCTTTTACCATTCAAATCAGGACATTATTAATAATTGTGCTGGGAAAATGGTATAAACCAAGACTATTATAAATAAAAAGGAAGATGGATGGTCACTTGATTTCTCTAGGAACTTGATATCACCACTTCTCAAAACAGATGTATATCTAGCACGTATCTTAGAACAGATATTTTAGTTCTGCCTATTACAATAAATAGAATGTGTACTGTTATTTTTATTATTCTTTTATTTGTTGAAAGCCACCTACAAAAATAATTTAAAACACTGGAAGAATGTAAAGGACTTTTCAACTTTCTCATCTTTCAGCTAAATAACCACAGTTTCTGATATGATTATTATTTATTTACTTAATGTTTTCTATTTGCCAGGTTCCATGTTGCATATTTTAAATACATATTTAATTAAATCCTCACAACAAACCTATGGAGAACTAACTCCTAGAATATGCAGATGAATAAACTGAGTCGTAGGTAAAACAGTTCTTTTTAGAATGACATAATATAGTAAGAGGTGGAGTAGAGGTAGGATTTGAAACTCTTTTTCTCACTCCAAACCTCAACCTAATTGATAGAAGATTGCTTCTCTTTATGTTTTGACTTATAGGATAATTCTTTACTGTTTCGATTTCTTCGTCTTATTTATAATATGGAATTTCTTACCCTATTAAAATACCTTTTTGACAATCAACAAATAAAGGAGAATTAAATCATTGGACTTGATGTTCCTTCTATTTTATACCTAGCATAGAGCTAGGGTAATAGAAAAATCAGATCTTCCCCTTTGGGTTTCTTTATACTCTCATAAAGACAAAACAGATCATGTTCCTCCTTCTGAGCCCCAGTCTATGTTGACTACATACTCTTATAAAATGGTAATAAATAAATTATTCTAAACTCAGAAACTATGAGCTGAGAGAAATGTTCCTATATGCCTGTACCAAAATTAGTCGTGTAATATACATAAAATGGAAATTACATTGCTTTAAATCAGTTTAATAATTGAAAAGAGACACATAATAATAAAAGATCTCTTCAGCCTCACAATGCATTTTAAAATATTTCTCTATAAACATCAGGAATCAATCGTTATTTCTGCCTTACTTTTCCCAGTAATTATTTACATAATTTCTTGTCACTCTTAGTTTTTTTAGGTAGGTATTGATAGCAAATATCAATGCCATATAATAGAAAGTAACTAGATAAGTAGTTGTCTTTGCTTGGTGTTTCATTTGTTGAATATTTCCTCAAGATAATCATTTATTATAAAAATAGAGTAATATGAGATATGAAACTCACAAACTAACAAATTAACCTTTAAATATCATAGAAAAAATTCATCTATTTCTTTAGAGTGTCCAAAGTAACTACATATGCAAAGTGCTGAAGTGTACATCTATGAAATACTCCTTAAAAGTTCTGTCTGTATACTTATGTTAATGTCCTAATTAATGGGAAAAAATTTTAAAGAATCATGTGAAACTGAATGAAATTCTTACAGCTGGAAATTGCAGTAGGTTCTCAGCATAAGGGTTAATTAAGTCTTGAGTAATAATTCGGGCTTTGACCATGATACTGAATGGTGGTCAGTTACTACGTGATTCTGGAAAATTTACATAATTTATGATTCTCAATTCTCATATTGATAAAACAAGAAAATAAGAGAACTTTCTCATAAGTTTACTTTAGCTATTGAATGATTTAAAACCTTAGCAGAGTTCTCAGAACCTAGTAACTATTCAAAAATTAAGTTTTGTTGTTGCCTAATTCTTCACTATAGAATCAGGAGAAAAGACTTCAATTCTAAAGTTATTGATCTAGAATATAGAAACTATATGCAGTGCTGATAAAGGTGTTGGTATTAATTGGTTTTTAATGTCGATATGTAGATTTACTAACAATCTAAAGTTATTATATGTAAAATTTATCTTCTACAGAAGATTTTTGTATCTTGGTAAAGGCTAAAGCATGGACTCTTGTCATTCTCTCCAATTCTAGTAATTTCGGATTCCTTGAATGCACTTAAAATTCTTAAGAAAGGCTTTGAGGAAATACGGTGATCCATTTATTAGAATGTGCTGTTTAGAGGGACTGTGAAATTTCCGTCAAATGATGCCTTTAAGGATAAATAATTAAAGAGGAGAGATTTAAAACAACAGACATATATTTATTATTTGCTTTGTTTTCATTGTTGGCAAGAGTATAAAATAAAGTTAAAATTAAAATAATTGTCTCTACAAGTCTAATTGGCTTTGAAAATATATATTTAACCAAGGTTTGCACTCTGTTTTTCTGATTCTGAAAAATTCAAACATTATATTACCCAAGGAAATAATCTTCTCTTTTGTCTATAAAGATTTGAAAATAAAACATGTTTAGAAAAAGGAAGGAGATAAAGGGTAGATATGAGCTGATATTAAAGAAAAGAGGAAAAAAAGAAAAATGAAAGAATATTTTAGGAAGAAGGAAAGAAAATGAGAGATAAAATATACTCTTTTGGGAGACAGAGAGTAGAAAATAATTCTAAACTATAAACAATCATTTTTATTTCAAGCAGAAGAAAACCCCTATTCTATATGATTATTACAAAGCTTTTTTTTTTTTTATGTCAAATGTGTCAGTTGGTTATTCCCAGTGTTTTTGCCATCAAATGTAAAAATTCATGTAAATTAAAGGAAGATAATGGCATTTAACAATGGATTTATCTCATCAAGCTCCTACCAGTCACTAAAGACTATGCAAGATTATGGCTGACATGCAGCTTCAGGAGAAATGCTAATGTACTGTCTTCAGCCTAGATAAATTCAGCCACAGTTTCTACTTTAAGAGCGAAAGATGACATATTCAGGAGCCATTACAATTTCTTTGTCCAAAACCCATCTATTTGTAGGGTTTTGGGCTTTTTGAGAAACTTGTCACTGTATCTATGGAGAGTTTTTAAACATAGAACAGACTATCTTTTATTTTACATTGGTTTGAAAGTCTGTATCTAGAGACAGAAATTGTATCAGATGACTTCTGTTTCCTGTCAAGATCACATGAAAAGTGAATATTACCTCATACCATTTAAAAAATATTGTTTACCTTATAGAGCAAATGTAGATCCGGAAAACTGAATAAATAACAGAAAGACATATGGGAATCTGTGTGAGACAAGAAATAGGAAGGTGATGATTCTAAATGACAGTTGAATGATCACTCAGCTTGGATTTTACCATTTGGTCCAACTGCTCATCTTTACATAAATGAAAATATACTTTGCATTTCTATTTAACTATAAATATTTTTAGCTTCAGATGTTCTGAATAAAAATCATTGTCTTAAAATATTCACAATAAGAAAAGGCTTTATGTCTTAACGATTCAAATATGAGAGTCAAGTATAGAGAGTTATCTTAGGTTAATATCAAATCATCTTTAATTTGTGTTCATTTTCATTATTTGTTAATGGATAAAACATTAACTGCCTCAAAACTTTTGAACTTTGTATTTCTTTTCTTTGGACTAAGCATCCATTTCATTCAAGTCTACACCTGACTGTCTTCCTTGGATATCCTGTCAAAAATAATTTTCTGCCACTCACGCTATGTTTGTTCTCTGTATCATTACCTTGCTTTTCTTTTACAGCAACCACCCACACA